AGGAATTACGATTTAAAAATAAAAATTTAAGGATAAAATAATTTTATCTTAAAAAGTATTATTATTTTATTTTTAATGATAAAACTGAACATTTAGTAGTGAATTAATAATTTTTTGGGACCAAAGTTATCTTAAAAAATAAATATTTTTGAGATCAAGTTATTTTGTCTTTAAAAATTTATTTATTAATGATATTTTTAAAATTTTGTTCCTAAACTCTTTTTTTGATTTTTTTAGACGATCTTTTAACAACTATCCTTGCACTAACTGAAATTAGTCCCTAAATATTCTTTGTAACAAAATTTATGCTTTAAAAAAAAAAAAATTGACCGCTAAAACTTTTATATGTTGTAGTGGGGCATGTCCCGAGTCCATTTCAATGAATCAAATTATTTATATTTTAAGATTTATTGAGTAAATATTTTATAAAAAAAATATTAATTGGACATCTATAATACTATAACAAGATCGCATTTCGTTTTTAGAAAAATAAACACCTAGTATAATTTTAATATTTTTTTAAAAAAATAATTAGAGCATGATTATAGGGTTACGTACGTTTGATTAATTTAATTTTTTCTTACGGATGATATACTTTATGAATCTTGTAATATAAACAATTTAAATTATTCAAATAAGAACGGGAGATATCCCCACGAGTCTCAGAGCATTAACCCCAATTTCTGTTAGTGGATTTGATTAGTTGAATGGATTAGTTGGGAAAACAAATTGAATAGAATTCACATCTATTAAGGTAAAAAAATAAAAAATAAAAAATAAAATGGGTCCGATTAGTTAAAAAAAAAATTAAGGTAAAAAATTGGGGAAAAATTGAATTCTGTAATATTTTTATTTTTTTCAAAATCCTTTTATAAAAGCAAATTTTAAAAGCAAACTAATGTTTAACACTTTGACACTTCAATTATATAACTTGTAGCAATCATATAATAATAATAAAAAAATACAACATATAACTATCAAATATATATAAATAAAACTATAGCAACTAATAAATTAAAAAAGAAAAAGCCTCCACAAAATTCCAAGCTGACAAAACTGTTTTGTCCCATTTGTTTTTATTAAAATAAAGGTATTGTTTGCTGTCACAATAGCTATGACAGTACACAAACCCTAACCCCATTAAAAAAATAAAATAAAAATAAAAAAACCCCGTGTGTTTTGGTTTGTGTTTTAAATATGATTTTGAAAAAAAAAAAAATTTTAAAAATATGTTTGATTATAAATTTTTTATAAAAAATTCAAAATTATTTCTCTATATTATACATTAATTATTTACTTTTTTTCTCATCTCTCTTTCTCAATCATTTTTTCTTTTACACATATTTACTCAACTATAACAAAATATCAAATCATCCCAAACTTTCAAACTCTAAAACTATTTTCAAAATATACAATCAAACAAATCAAAAAAAAATTCTAAACTCTATCTTCAAAATATTTTTAAAAAATTTAACTCAAAACACAAATCAAACACACTCAATCATCATTTGCGGAGACGACGCAGCTCACAATTCCCACTTACTTCGTTGGAAAAAGATTAAGCATGTGTTTGGCAAGTGGGTTTGCAGGCTTTTTTGGCTATTTTAACTACAAAAAATAAAATAGGCTATTTTAGTCATAACAAACAAAACATCACATCCAACCCATAATCATTACATTCTTCTCTCACAAAAAAATTCAAAAAAGCCAAAAAGCCAAAAAGCCCTTCCCAAACCAAACTTTTAAGCCCAGGCTAAAATAGCCAAAAAAGTCAAAAAGCCAAAAAGCCAACCCACTTCCCAAACGGAGGCTAAAAGATTTTTCTAATTTATCACAATAATGACAGTAATTTTTTCATTTTTAACAGGGCAATAGTGACAGTAAATTATATGACAAACTTTTAATTTGTTACAAAATTAATCATGTAATAAATTTTAAACTGTGAATTTGTGAACTTTGGGTATATTTGTTTAGACGAATTAGATAAAAAGGGATTAAAATCTAACGGATTGTAATCTTGAGATTCGTAGTCTTGGACTATTTGATTGGATATGATATGTATCTCGTGTTTATTTAGTTATGAGATTAGATATCAGAAAAGCACTATTTGGTTGGATATGATATGAATCTTATGCTTGTTTAGGATATTATAGAGAATGATAAATGCTTAAATGACTATTTTACCATTTTCAATTATTTACTAAGTAATAGCAATATTAAACATATCTTAAATATTTTAATTATTTTTAGTTAGATTAAATAAAATTTTATTTTATTTTATTTTAAAAAAATTAAATAATTTATATAAAAAATTATTGTAAAAAATTAAATGCATAAAACATTAATAAAAATTAAATAAAATTATTTTATTTTTAAATTGAGACATTTAAATTTTATTAAATTTTACTAAATATAATATATAATTAAATAATAGAGGGTCAAAATGATTATTTCACCACCTAATCCCATGTCCCCCATTATCTCCCATTGGTGTCCCACCCCCCCATGGGACACAATAGTCCAACACATTTGAGGCTAATAGTCTAATGCAAAAATTTTGAACTAAACAATGGACTATTAGTCTAATCCCATGACTCAATCCCTCAAATCAAACACTACCTTTTAAGTATAGGATTGGGTTACTCATAAAACTGTTTAGGTATATAGGGTCTATCATGGATTCTATTATGATGATTCAAACATTTCATTTTATAGAATCTTTCGTTTGTATCATCTATGAAGTTTTGATGATTCTAACATTTCATTTTCTAGCACTCTTTCTGTATATCATTTATAAAAATAAAAATAAAAATAAAAATAAAAATTAGATCGATCTAATAATAGTTATTCTTTTATTTTATCGTGTTTGTCTTTAAAAAGATAGACGAGAAATAGATTTTTAAAAATAGATCATCTATATATTTTCTTGAAAACAAATAAGATAAAATACAAATATTATGATTGTTGAATAATTTTTATTTATTTATTTTTTTTTAAGAATGATATACATAAAAAGGCCATATAAATGGATACTTTATATTACCAAAATGAAATATGTGATAAAACTCCATTAGTCCGAATAATTCTCTGAAATTTATATTGGCAAACTCAAGAAAAACACAACTTTAAATACGAAAATGCTATGAACCCAACCCACTCTTATTAACTCATAATTTATTCTAAATTTGTTTGTGTGGTGGAGATTAAATTGACTAAATATAGAGTCCATGAGTAAAATGAATTTAAATTATTAATTCATTTTTCTAAATAAAATTCTAGATTCATAAATATGTATTTGTAGTGTTGGTGCTTTAAATATGACGGTGGCTAATTCGAGCCATCAATGTGTAGAGTTCGTCGAGTACTTTAGCCCTACAAAAATTCACCTTGATTAGATATCGATAGTCATTTGATCAAATTAAATTTATGTCAACGGTAATTATGATTTTAAAAATAAATTGTTTACATAAATATGATCTGATCAAGTGACTATTAATATTCAATTAACACGATTTTTTACAGAGATGAAATACTCGACGAGTTTCACATATTGAATAATTTGAATTGTCGAGACAGTCTCAAAATGAGCCCACAATGGGCTGTTTAGTTGGCTAGTCCAACTGAAGTCCGTCCAAGCCCTCTAAATAAATAGGAAGTGTTTGGGTGTGCAAGGTGCATACTATATGTACTTGCATAAGTTCTCACAAATATACATAAGTTACCTTACAAAATCACGTAAGTTATCGCAAATATACGTAAGTTATGATTTTTCAAATTTTTATGAATTAACTTATGTATGTTTTCACTTTTGTGAAAACTTACGCAATTTGTAGTACAATTTTGCACTTTAAAAAATTAATTTTTTAAAATTATCCTTTAGTAGTATATTTTTTGTGAATATCAATTGTCATAATTATAGTTTTTGTGTTGTTGATAAATTTAAAAGAATGAAAAAATAGAAATTTTATATAATTTTAGTTATTAATTTTTTAAAATAGACTAATATTTTAATATAATAAAAAAAATAAGAGATTAATATTTTAAAACGGATGTTAAAAACATTCATCTTCTAACTTCTCAACTATTAATATTTTTTTAATTTATTTAAATTATTTTTATTTATAAATTATAAGTAGAAACTGGCATAGTTTAGAAAGTTGATTACTTTAATTGGCTACTTTAATCTGGTTAAAAAAAGTTATGTTTAGAAAGTTTTAAAAAAAAAAATAGTTAATTTGATAGTTATAAGAAAAAAAATAAAATGATTATGAATTGAATGTAACATTTTGTGTTATTAACTGATTTAACTTTTTTTTATCTTTTATGAGTCACATTATCTTTCTGTTTTTTTATATATTTTTTTGTAAAAAAGTTAAAAAGTTAAAAAATATATTTATTTAAATACTTCCAAACAACTCCTAAGAATAAATATAAATAATAAAAAAATAATATCGTAATATGTAAGTTGCTTAAATATTAAATGTGTTCTTAATGATAGTATAATAATCTTTTATTTTAGTATATGAAAATCTGATAGGTGGCATGAGGAGAAGGTTGGGAAGTTTGGATACAAGTCTAATGTTTACATATATAATAGTATAAATAAATAGATGGATATTTTATTTTTTATAATTATATTAGTTAAATGGCATATCATATGTTAATTAAAAGATAAATTATTGCTCACTGATTTTTTTTTTTTTTTTAAAAATACTAATTAATGAAAAGGTTTCTCTCTTCACATTTTAATATTTGTATAGTTTGTAATTAATTTATAAATATTTTTTGAAATATACACTGATATGAAATTTTAAAAAGTCATCCCAAACATACAAGTTTTTTTTACCTACCTTTTTAGCCAAATAGCCAAAAAGTTACTAAATTAGCCTGTTCCCAAACGAGGCCTTAATATTTAAGTTTAATAAGATCTCATTATTATTTATTAGAAAAAAAAATTTAATATTATCACTAATTTGTTCATTCAATTCCTGACTACGCCACAAGACATATATGCCTTTTACTATCCATATCTTGTTGGTAGCTTTAGCTTATTTATTTCTCACTCTCCTCTGTACGTGCATCTGTATGATAGGACTAGGAGGTTGGAAATAAGAGGAAATAGAGGAAAGAGAATCAAGAAAGAAAGAAAGCAAAAAAATGGAGAGAAAAGAGGAAATACAGGGGCTTGAATCACCACTGATTCCAAATAAAAAAGTGATAGAATCCAAAAAAGGATTGGAGGGAATCAAGAAAGATGATATTTTGACAGAATTGAAGAAGCAGTTAAGTCTGGCGGGGCCAATAATAGCAGTGAATTTGTTACTGTATTGTTTACAGGTGATATCTGTTATGTTTGTGGGTCATCTTGGTGAGCTTGCTCTCTCTGGTGCTTCCATGGCCACCTCCTTTGCCTCTGTCACTGGCTTCAGCCTCTTGGTTAGTTTTCTTCTTTGTTTTTTCACTTTCACTTTTTTTCTTCTTCTTTTCCTTTTTATTATTATTATTATTTTATTTTCAGTGATTTTCCTGCCATCTGCTTTTACAAGGTACAGACATGGTTTTTAAACAGCAGTATCGTTATGCATATTAATATGGGCAATACTTTGATCTTTTGCTTGTATTGGATAATATTGATCTATATATTAGTAATAATAATATCGTAAGTATAGGCTGACGAAAGATAGGTTTGTAATTAAAAAGCCATTATAATTGTCATATTATTCTTTATTTTTTTTATGCCTTTTATAAAAAATAAAAAAATTAATTAAAATAGTCTATTCATGTCTACACCTTAATTTCCGATATAAATCATTGTTGCGGTGGAATAGGTTTGTGCATATCTTTACAAACAGCTATTTGCTACTTTCTTGCTGTAGATATGGTCTTTCAAGGATAAAAGTTACTAAACAGAAAAGTGATATAAAAATAAATTTTGTAACATAAATTCAAATTTAATATGATGTATATGATACTTAAAATAAATTTAAGAGTGAAAATACTAATCATCATGCTTGGTTATCATTTTTCAAAAATACTTTTCAGAAAATTTTACTCTCTTATTTTTCGTATTTTTTTTGTTTTTACTGAATTTTTTTAATATTTTGAGCAATTTTTTTTTTAATTTTTAGACATTCCTAACATAAATATACCTAAAAAGTAAAAAAAAAAATTAAAAAAAAACTTTTTAAAAATTCACTAAACACCAAAAAAATAAAAAAATACGAGAATTCTGTATATTTATTATATTTTTATGTATTTATTAATTTTTAAAAATATTTTTTCACAAATTTTTTACTTTTTAGATGCATCTAAGTAAGATGCATCTAAAAAAGTAAAAAAAATGTTTAAAATTTTAAAAATATTTACTAAAAACAAAAAAACACGAAAACCAAAAAGCTCAGTTTTTAAAAAACTTAATTCAAAAAACTCAAACCAAACACACTGAATAAATTCTAAAAATATAATCTTATGAGTGGTTTATCTTTTTTTTTTAAAATTTTTTTATGAATCCAAATGTCCAGTGACAATTATACAAAAGGGTAGTTACTTACACGTTTGTGTTTAATTTTTTAAGAATGAAAATGAATTTCTCTAAATGTGAAATTACACATTTGGACAATCCGCATTATAGAGGTTTTGGATTTTTCTTAATTCTGGGACAAATTCCACATTACGAACAAGAACATAACACTCTAATACCGTAACACTCTAATGTATCACACTAAAAAACTCCTTAGTGTATTTTTTTCAAAACGTAACACTCTAAAAAAACTCTTTAATATACTTTTCCTAAACATAACACTCCAATGTAACACAAAAAACTCATCAGTATACTTTTCTCAAACGTAACATTTCAATCAATGTAATTTCAAACGTAATATTCCAACATAACACACAAAAACACTAAAAAATTTCTTAGTATACTTTTCTCAAACGTAATGCTCAAAGTTTGAAATTATACATTTATCCAAAGCTTGATAAGGAATTTTTGTACTCCTTTGGATTTTTCTTCCTTCTGGAATAAATCTCACATTACGAACAAACGTAACACTCTAATGTAACACTTCAATATAATATACTAAAAAATTTTGTAGTGTATTTTTTTCCCAAAACGTAACACTCCAAAAAAATTCTTTAATGTACTTTTCCTAAACGTAACATTCACAGTTTGAAATTATACGTTTACCCAAAGTTTATTGAGGAATTTTTGTAATCCTTTTGAAATGGTTTTAAGAATCTCCCATCCTTTTGGAACAGTTTGAAGAATCTCACATCTTTGTTTTTTTTTTTTTTTTTTTGGAGTGTTACATTGAACTGCTTCATTTTGAAAAAGTACATTAAGGAGTGTTTTTTTTGTATGTTACACCAAAGTGTTACACTGAGGAGTTTTTTTAGAGTGTTACATTGAAGTGTTATGTTTGGGAAAACTACACTAAGAAGTTTTTTTGGAGTGTTATAGTTTGAAATTATACGTTTACCCAAAGCTTACTAAGCAGTTTTTGTAGTCCTTTTCAAATGTTTGAAGAATCTTACATCCTTTGGGAATGTTTGAATAATCTAATATTTCAAGTCATTTTTGTATTCTTTTTGAAATGTTTGAAGAATCTCACATTTTAAATAAAAAGATTCACATATAAAAATTTATTCCAAATTTGATTCTCATAGGGTATGTATCTTACATTTCTAGCACCAAAAAAAAAAAAAAAAAAAATCATAATAGAAATAAGAGTATAACTGTAAACCTAATTTCCAAATAATATATTTAATCTATCTTTTCAAAATCAATGGGATAAGTAAATTTTCCTAAATTTAATCTGTAAAAGAAAAAAGTTAACTATTTTTTCGATAGCTTTTTGGACTTCATATGATAGTTGGTTTTTTTTTTTTTTTTAGAAAATGATATAAAAATCCATTTTTGAAATTCACATTCTAAACTCAATGATGCGTAAGAAATATGATTGGCTAATAGTTAGAGTAGATTTGAGAGAGAAAGTTGCATTAAATATTTTAATTGGTTATCACATCATTGCTTTTAAAAACTTGGTCTAACTTTTGGGTTTTAATAACAAATATTTTTTTTCCCTTTTATAATTTGGTGCTTTTTTAGTTTTTACTACACTGTTAAGAGCTCTAGACCTTTAGCTTGTGTTTGGTGGAGAGATTTGGAAAACGAAGCGAAAAAGTTTGTGAAACTAAGTAACATGTAAGTATTCACATTTCACATATTTTTTTCCTTTCCCTTTCCAAATTCCTTTCCAAATCTCTTTTCAAATTTCACCACCAAGCACAACATTACTGCCTAATTTTGATTATTAAACACTATTTAAAAGCATGTTCAATGCTGAATTGTTAAAATCGTATGTCAAAATGAAATTTTAGCATTCTATAGTAGTCAAAATGTTAAAATTTGGCAATCTTACTAAAATTAATAAGTACTATTTCTTGTGTTAATTTATTTTATCTTATTTTTGTTTTTTCACATTAAACCAAATACAAATAACATCTATAGGCCCATCAAGAGAGATGGAGAGAAAATCCTCTTGCTAGAATTTGTCAATCTGCCAAACCTTGTGCCATATTTAACTCAAGAGATAGCAACGACAAAATTTAGAAGTTCAAATTAGCACGTTGACATGATTGCCCTCGAGTCAGATTGGTTTCTAGTTATGTATATGAATTGCCAAACCATAAATATAATTTATTTTTGTCTGTTTTCACTTGTATTGAGCAGGTAGGAATGGGAAGTGCATTAGATACATTCTGTGGGCAATCTTATGGGGCTAAACAGTACCATATGCTTGGTATTCACAAGCAGAGGGCCATGCTTGTTCTCCTACTTGTAAGCATTCCACTTGCTTGCATTTGGGCAAATGCAGGGCATATTCTTGTTTTCTTGGGACAAGATCCTGAAATATCAGCAGAGGCAGGTTCTTATGCTCGGTTCATGATTCCCAGCATTTTTGCTTACGCACTCCTTCAATGCCATGTTCGATTCCTACAAACTCAAAACAACGTCTTTCCAATGATGTTGAGCTCTGGATTCACCACATTACTACATGTACTCATTTGTTGGATTCTAGTCTTTAAATCTGGACTTGGAAATAAAGGCGCTGCGTTGGCTAATGCTATATCTTATTGGATCAATGTGATCTTACTCGCCATTTATGTCAGGGTATCTCCTTCCTGCAAGAACACTTGGACAGGATTTTCCAAGGAGGCATTGCACGATATTCCTAAATTTCTTCGACTTGCAATCCCTTCTGCTCTTATGCTCTGGTAATAATTATTATTGATTATCAAAAATAATATATTTTTACTGTTTGTTTGAAATGTGCTCAAACATATGCTAGTTTCATTTATTTGATCACTTGCTGTTTTCTTGTAAACAAACAAACAGCTTGGAAATTTGGTCATTTGAAATGATGGTTCTCTTGTCTGGTCTCCTTCCTAATCCAAAGCTAGAAACATCTGTTCTTTCTATCAGGTTAGTAGTTTCTGTACTCATTCACTTTGTGGCCAATATATAGTGAAGCACATAGGCAGCTCAATCCTATTTGAGGCCTATGAATGAAAATTTTAAGTGAGGCACTTTATAAATTTTGCTTTATACCAAATTCATTTATTTTTGTGTGATACATACACTATATACCTATAAAAAAAAAAAATAAAAAAAATGGGGGTCTTCCTCTGAGCAGGACTCTAGGCGAGCAGCTAAACAGTCTTAGGGGTTGAGCTGCTGGTGGTGGTGAAGCATCACATAAAGTATTGCCATATATAGATGCCCATACTAACTATTCATTTGAATTCCCAGCCTCAATTCGTATACCATGGTTTACATGATACCCCTCGGATTCAGCGGTGCCACAAGGTGATTGATTATAAGATTAATTGTTGACCATTTAGGATTTTTATTATTTATTATAGTTTTACATTTTATTTTGTTCGTCCTTCAGCATAAGAGTTTCCAATGAATTGGGTGCTGGCCGACCACAAGCTGCCCGTTTAGCAATATGCATTGCCCTAAGCTTGGTTGTTACAGAAGGCATTTTGGTGGCGACTATAATGATTCTGGGGCGTAAATTTTGGGGATATTGTTACAGTACGGAAGAAATGGTAGTGCGATATGTGGCAGAGATGATGATATTACTCTCAGGATCCCACTTTGTGGACGGTATTCAATCGGTGCTTTCAGGTCTCTACCCAAATTCTGAATTTCACTATATTATCAATGCATTATATACAAGGGGACAATTTAATCATGAAGCGAAGGTTTCTTAAAAAGGTTTCATGAATTGGTTGTGTCAATATTTCACAGGAATTGCAAGAGGATGTGGTTGGCAAAAGATTGGTGCTTTTGCTAATTTGGGTGCTTATTATCTTATTGGTATACCTGTTGGCGTATTGCTTGCATTTGTCTACCACATTGGAGGGAAGGTAATTTTCATATCTTTTGCTTTTCCCAAACTTTCTGTTATAAAAAATATTATATACCTAGAAGAAAGTTAGTCAAAGTGCACATAATTTGAATTTATAGTGTTTGGTGTCATCTGGACTACACCAGAATAATTTTGATCCACAAATTTAAAATTTTGAGCACTTGATTTTTGGATACATATAGTGGGTGTTTAGGGAGTTACTATTTTAGTAGATTATTTTAGTTTTTAACTATTTTAATATGCTAAAATTTTTATATTTGGGAAGATGATTGGATTTTTTTGTAGTTGAATATGATGTTTGTGATAGAAAAAATGAAATAATTATGAGTTTGATGTGATATTTTGTCTTATTGGTTATTTTAGCCTATTTGTCTTATAGTGCTATTTTAGCCAAAAAAGCTAAAAAGCCTTCTTGGATTTTTAGCTGTTTTGGATTTTTTTTTTTTTGCCCATATGTTTCGATTTGTGTTTGAAATGTGTTTTTTGGCAGGGACTTTGGGTGGGGATTATTGTGGCATTATTTGCTCAAGCATTATTTCTTTCGATTATAACTTTGTGCACTAATTGGGAGAAAGAAGTAAGCACTTCCCTGATGAGTTGTGACTGTTTGAGATTTCAATTACTTTTCTTTTCTTTTCTTTTCTTTTCCCTTTAAATCACTCAATTCAAATAGACTATAATTGTTGGCTGTGGTCATATCCATTGTGCAGGCAAACAAGGCTAGTGACAGAGTATATGGCCCAATGATACCTGTAGAAGCATCTCTAATAAATTGAATTCTATGAGAAAGGAATACATAGAGCATCCAGAAGCAGATGCAGAGTATTGAATGTCACAGTGCCGAAAAATTCAAAGAACATTCGAGCCATGTATGAAATAGCTAACAAAAAAACTAAAAAATAAAAACAGGATCATTTTGGAGGAGACACCGCATGAGATTCATATGATGATGATGATGATGATGATGATGAATGGTTATGTCCAACCTTGTGTGGATGTCTCAACAAATGTTTTGCTAATGCAATTATTTAAACCTTTTTTATTTGTTTTAAGATCTTTAATATAACTGGGTGTCCGAGTAATTATTTAAATCTTTAATGGAGGTGTCATGTGGTAACATTTCAAATGTTAGGAAATGGGCCCTAAACTAAAATCCTCATTGCCAATTGCTTGTCTTTGAAAATACTTGGGAAGATTGAAAGAGGACCTATATTTTTGCAAATGGTTTTAGGTTGTGATTAAATTATAGATTTGATATGAAAATATTTATGTCTAATTATTAATAGAGAATAATTCTAATTTATATTTCAGACATAGATTTCAATTTCAAATTTGAGGATTTTATTTAGCACTTTTTTCTTATTATACTTTGTATACATATGGTTCCTACGCCTATTTTTTGAATGTCAGAGATAATATTATGAATTTGAATAATTTTATGATTGTTGGGATTTAAACATACATCTCTACTATTTAGGAAACATCCTTCTATAAGAACTTTAACTAATGGATATAATTAGTGAAAAAATGAAATTAATCATACATCTATAACTCCATGATCAGATCTTAATTGTTTTAAAATCATTATCAAAATCATGTAAATCATACAAAAAAAAAAAAGAGCAGAAGATTTGCACTTGTTATGGGGTTGCAAATGTCCAACTAACTTAATTTTTTGTATGGATGATCTGCTTGATAACTCTTACAATATGAATAATTTGGATTATCAAAAGAGGCTCGGAACAAACCCCCACGGGGCCTCATAGAAAGTTGCAAGGCACAGTAAGAACCCCAAGTCATTAGCCAATTGTGTTAGTTGCCACCCTTGTGCACTGCTATGTAGGAGATCAGGGGTTAATTCTTAGGGAAAATTTCACTTTACCCTCCAGTGATTTGGGCCGGATGTGAATTACCTTATGACATTTGAAAATCACCACATAATCCCGATGTGATTTGTGGCCTAAAAACGCATAGTAAACATTTTCGTCCAAAATAACAGAATGTGAAAAATCATATGCCTTTGTAGAGAGTAAGTCAATTTTTAAGACAAAAATACCGTTTTTATATCTTTAAATTTACCAAAAATGTCATTATTTTCCCCTCCCCTTATTTCTATTGTTGCTCTATTTACTCTTGCAAATAAATAATAGCACTCATATATATATATATAGACACACACATAGAAATTAAATGATTTCCATTAAAATCTATCTTAACTTGATATCAATGGCAGCTCATCTCTTAACATATATGCACATGTATGCATATATTTATGATTGAAGGATGGGATTTGTAGCCAAAATGAGGGCAACACATATATGTATATATACACAAACAGTGAGTTGGGATTTGTATACTAAAGATTGTAACTTTCCATTTTTTTTGGTCTATTTAGATCCTTGGTTCTCATAAGAATGGGGGATTTTTGGTCTGTTTAGATCTCATATAAACAGTGAGTTGGGATTTTTAGTCTGTTTATCAGATATTTAATTTTATGATGGTGGGTTTGATTTCTTTGTTCAATTTTTGTTTATGGTTGGTGGGTTTGATTACCTTCATTCTTACTTCCACTTGTTTGTGTCTCCTTCTCTTCTTCATTGGCCATTGTTGCAAGTTCTGTTAAAAGAGAGGAGGAAGTTGAAAAGAAGAAGAACCATAAAGGTGTAGAGAGAGAACCAATAGAAAAGTGAAGGTTTTTATTTTTTTTATTTTAATAGCTAAAACATAACACACACATATATGCATAAAATATGGGCATACAAAAAAAAAAAAAAAAAACAATCTTCACTGTACATCTATATATATGTATGTGTGTGCAAAATATAATTTTGGGAATGGTTGATGAACTAGATGCTTTGGTGACGTTTGATGAATCAGAAATTCAAAATTGTGTTCTTTGATCCACTATGCATGTGTGTGTTTGTGTGTGTGTGAGAGAGAGAGAGAGAATTTGGGGAATGTTTGATGAGCTAGATGGTTTGATGAATTGCAAATTCAAAATCGTGCTCTTTGATTTTAGTTTCTTCACTATAAATATGCATCAACTACTATTATAAAAGTGTGAAGAGTCTGCCATATTTTTTACTTTTTTTTAATCCCAATTTTACCATCTCAAATCTATTATATTTTTTAAAAGTTATGAAGAGTCCTATATAAACCAACTATCTTTTTATTTTTCGAATTAAATACTCAAAAACGATATATCTGCTTCCAAGAATCCTACATAAATATAAATAAACCGTCTCCCTTCTTATGAAAAACCTGTCATATTTTTTACTTTTTTAAATCTCAATTTTACCCTCTCAAACCTACTATATTTTCTAAAAGTCATGAAGAATACTATATAATTCATCTCTTTATTTTTGGAGTTGAACACTCAAAAATATATTTGCTTCCAAGAGTCCTATATAATTATAAACAAACTGTCTCACTTCTTATCCAAAAAAAGAAAAAAAGAAAAGAAAAAAAAAAAGCCATCTCCCTATTTTTTACATTGATGACGATTAAAGAGCAAAAAATAATAACTCTTTCTTATTTCCTATGTCTGCTTCTATATTGTTATACATAATATTTACAATTGTTCCTTATGGATCAAATCACTATGAATAATTTTAGTTGAATATTAAAATTGTATGCATTCGATCGAATTTAGATAGAGAAAAATGCATGCCTTTTAAAAACAGAAATTTGTGCTACATCTCAAAAATTCACAAGTTATCTTTATACACTTTCTTTTTGTTTAAATTATATTTTATGAACTATAATATTTTACATGGTACTTTAATAACCAATGTATGATGTCAAAATTCTATATAAAAACCACTTTCGTTGGTTTTATTTTTTAAATATGTTTTTCAGTTTTGGATTTTTCATATTTTTCTAGTTTTAGTGAGTAAAGATACTGGAATTTCTTTATATTTTATATTTAAATTATACTTTTATATGAAAATCTAATATCTAATAATCTAAATAGAATTAAAAAGTAAAATATTGGTAAAAAAAATAGAACATTTACACACAAGTCTTAATTTATGAACTTATACTCTATTAAGTCCTAACTAAGATTTTTTGAACTTTCAAGTCCCATTAAATTTTTAATAG